TCAGTCTGATTGTTTGCTCTCCTGGCCTGCGTTCTTCCTTAAACAGTGCTTGTGGGGGCCAGAACCCTCATCCCAAGTTTCCCTCCGCCCTGCCTCATTCCCAACCTTTCAGGTCCCCCTGAGTCCATGAGGGAACATGTGGTTGCTGCCTCCAAGGCCATGAAGATGGGCGACTGGAAGACCTGCCACAGTTTTATCATCAACGAGAAGATGAATGGCAAAGTGTGGGACCTTTTCCCAGAGGCCGACAAAGTCCGAACCATGCTGGTTAGGTGAGCAGAGTGTGAGACCCTGGTGGGTGGGGAAGAAAGACTGGTTGGTCTCCTTCCCTGAAGATCCCCCTTTCTCCCAACAGGAAGATCCAGGAAGAGTCACTGCGGACCTACCTCTTCACCTACAGCAGTGTCTATGACTCCATCAGGTAGGATGGGCCCTGAGGAGGCACAGAAGCCCCAGCTTGGTGGTCAAGGGTCCTAATTGCTCCCTGCTCTCGATCTTTTTTCTCCCTAGCATGGAGACCCTGTCTGACATGTTTGAACTGGACCTGCCCACTGTGCACTCCATCATCAGCAAGATGATCATTAACGAGGAGTTGATGGTAAGGGCCCAGGTGGCAAATGGGCAGGTGGATTCCTGGAGAGTTTGGAGTAGAGAGGTCTGATCTGTGTCACATCTGTTCTTCTCCCTCCCCTCAGGCCTCCCTAGACCAGCCAACACAGACAGTGGTGATGCACCGCACTGAGCCCACTGCCCAGCAGAACCTGGCTCTGCAGCTGGCTGAGAAGCTGGGCAGCCTGGTAGAAAATAATGAGCGGGTGTTTGACCACAAGCAGGGCACCTACGGTGGCTACTTCCGAGGTGAGTGGTTCCATCCCCTCTGTTCTCCCAGAGTCCTAGCCCCCTTACTGTCTCTCCCCTGGTATCCTCCTCCACCTCTTCCCATTTCTCTCCTGCAGACCAGAAGGATGGCTACCGCAAAAACGAGGGCTACATGCGCCGCGGTGGCTACCGCCAACAGCAGTCTCAGACGGCCTACTGATTGCTTCACTTCTGTCCCCAGTGCCCTAGACCATTCAACCTTTAGGTCCTAAGCCAGATCCTAGACATTAAAGGTATATTTAGAGTTGTTACAGTTCCTGCTGTGTTAGACACATTTATTTGTTAATTATATTTCTAAGCTTTCTACTGTATGACAGACACAAGGCTCAAGATGCAGAGATGACTTGTACATTTTCTTGACTTCCGAGAGCTTGCTGCTCTTTGACAGTTGACCAGAATTGTGATAACATGATGAGTTGTAACAGGTGTGGGGTTTTTTGTTTTGTTTTTGTTTTAAAGTGGTGGATATACTGAACGGGATGTGACTATGCGTCATAAATGGCAGGGAAAGCACAATGGAGGCAGTAATGATGGATGTTGCAAGTGAATGGGTGGTGGTTCACCAAGCAGGGAAAAGGGAGAGTTAGTCTAGACCTATGTGAAATATAGTCCTTGGACGAGTGTGGATCCACAGTTAACCTGTTCATGACAAAACAGGCACTATAATTAAGAGTAAGCACTGAAAAGCTTTGCCATTGCTGTGATATCTAAGCGTGTGATCATTTTTCTAATTTGTGTGTATTGTGTTTTCAAAAGTATTGATCCACAGTAGATTGGAATTTTTTTTAATGATCCTTTACCACATTTGAAAAGCATTGATGTAGGCAAAGGAAAAGGAGCACGTGCAAAGGATGAGAGGAGAAAAGACAGGTTGGCTTGATATAAAGTATGGAGTATGTGCAGAAGCTAAACTAGAGACTTAATCTGGGGCCATCCCACGAAGACTAAATGCTTTGGACTTGTGGAAACAAAATACATGAATGGATCGAGTTTTAAGAAGGGTAACAGCAGCATTGTAGAGTATGGAATTGGAGGCAGAGAGCTAACCAGAAAGTAAAAAACATCCAAAGCCAGGGTGGTTAGGATCAGAGGTGAGGGAGTGATAGAGGAGGGATGTATGTAACAAGCTGTGGAGTTTCTGTGATGGATTGAATCTGGGAGTGTAGGAGTGACAAATTCTCCTGTCTGGGCATAAATACACGGTAGGGCTGTTCTCAAAAGACAGTTGGAATAGTCTGTGTTCAGGAATACAAGAACAGCAGGTGTGTGCTGTGGCTTGATAATGAGGCTGGTTTTGTAAGTGTTGAGTTGAGCTGCTTTGGGACATAAGCAAGGCAGTTGGAGATGAAGGGTTTGGGATGCATATTAATTACAGGATAGGCTAAGCTGCTTTAACAAAGGGACTGCAAAACAATGATTCAAGCAAAATAGTGTACTTCTCGTGTGACAGTCCGGAAGTAGGTGAGTGGTCCTGGCTTGGGGTTAAGCAACTGGACTGCAAGATCATCTGGGGACTCAGGGTCCCACTGTCTTACTGCTCCGCCATTCCCTGGGTGGTTGTTCTCATCTATAAGGTTTAAAGCCGGCTTACCAGTCTCACATCCTTTTTCAAGCCCATAGAAAGGGGAAGAGGACATAGAGGGCCTGGAAATGACACTGATCCCATGGGCTAGATCAAATTCTTACCATCCTGTGGGGAAGGTTAAAAGCCTCTCTGTCTGGATAGTTGTGTGTTCATTTAAATTTAGGGAGTTGTACTACTAAAAGAGAAGGAGAGTGGACCCTGGGAACAGTTATAGTGTGTCAGAGAAGGGGAAGAACAAAAGATTTGGATTAAGTGGCTTATAAATGGTTGTCAAAAGTATGGTTGATGGGTAACATTTATCAGAGCCATCATTACTGGGTGCTTTACATGCCTTACTTCATTTTATCCTTCTAGAAGATTACTATTATCATTTCCATTTTTATAGTTGGGAAACTGACATTAAGTGATTTGCTTAAGATCACGTAACTAGGAGTGAGGTGGATAGATGCACAGCAGGGCAGCCTGACTATGATCCTAGCTCTTAACCATTGTATTTAGTGCTAATTATATTTCTGGAATGGAGGCATAGGGGAGGAGAGGGCTGATGGTAGAACGCACAACATGTGAGTGGTAGGAGAAAGGGAAGCGAGAGAGGAGTGGCCACAGAGGTAGTAGAACCAGGGAGGAGAGGTGATGGAAAAGCTGAAGAGTTCATGCATCTCTAGACTGGCTGCCTTGTACTGAATTTGGCCTGTTTAGCATTCTTTGGTGGAAGGCAGAGCCATTGTGTTGCCCAGTTCCAAGGGTTACGTTTCCCTTTTCTAGTCTAGAGGCAGTAACCATCAGTGTTGTCAAAGCTGTTTCTGTCCAGGGCTAGCTAGTAAATATTTTAAACTCTGTAGGCTATGTGTGATCTGTCACATATACCTTTTTTCTTTTGAACAACTCTTTAAACATGTAAAATCCATTCTTGGCTCACTGTTGGTACAAAAACAATCCATGGACCAGATTTGTCCCAATCCCTGCCCTAGATACAAAGTGATTGGTGCCTCCTGGAGCTGTACCACATGGTATTATTGACAGAGGCCTAGAATATGTTCAGGATGGTTTTGCTTCAGAACCTTGCCTTATGGAGGGAGGCAGAATATGACCTCTACCAATGCACACCCTTCAGTTTTGCTGAAAAGCTCAAATTCGCAAGTTTTTCTCGAAAAGGTTTCAAGAGTTCACAAAATTTCTCAAGGTGAGTTAATCGTACAAATCTAGCTGAAACAATACTCTTAGGAAAATAAGATCAGATTCAAGAGTTTTCGGGACTCCCAGCAGGTGTTTGAGCAAATGCAGAGTATAAACAATTTTTGTTAAAAGAAACTTCAATCAAAATATCTCAAAAATATGTTCAAGCAAATCTGGATGAAGTAAGTTTGAGCCAGTTTTTGTGAAAATTAAGCTCAGATTCATAAATCCTCAAAGTTAACTTTCCTATCATGAGTTTGAGCACATGTAGCTGAGACAGTCATTTTTGTGAAAGCAAGCTCAGATTCACGCTGTTCTCAAGTGTAACCTCCTGGCATCAGTTTGAGCAAACTTAAATGGAAAACAGCACTATTGGCTCTTGGGAAATTGTATGAAAGCACAGATTCATGAATTCTCAAAAGCTGTCCCCTAACTTCTGGAGCTGGTTAATATTTAAGCCCACTACACTATCTCCCACTGATAACAACCAAAAATTGGAAAAAATACAAAAATTTACCTGAGGACTCTGAAAAATAAAAGCAGTTAGGTTAGGGAGAAGGAGTCAAAACTTACGCAGTCCCTACAGAGCTGAGTTTCCTGGTGTTTTTCCTTTTCTGTGGCTTTCACCTCTAAGGTCTGGCTGCAAAAACCCCAAAAGAACCCAGCTTAGCTTTGGCCAGAGGGTCAGGAAAACGGACCCTGTGAGCCGGAGACCATAATGGGAAATACCGTTTTTTTTCCCTTGACCTTCTCCCAAGAGCAGGCAAAAGTTGCATAGCATAGCAGTTTAGCTCTGATAGCTGGAACTTGTCTTCTGGGCAGAGCAGCGAGGAAAAGGAGACACTGGTCTGAGGAAGGGAAATCACCATTCTGTTTCTGCTTTGGTGCCACGGCAGCTCCACCATAGAGCTGGAGCTGTATGAGTGGCACAGGCAGCGAAGCTTTCTGACAGGTTAAATTGCCTGCTGAAACAAAAATGTTCTTGGGATTTAGACAGAACCTAGAGTCTCACAACAAAAATTCAAAATGTCCAGG